ACAGATTCCCTATATTTTCCTATATTTTCTGGGCTTTTGTCTTCCCCCCCACTTCCCATACGTTCCCATATTCTCCTGGGAATCGACGATTAAGTGTGTCTGTGTGTTTTTGACCCTCCTGACAGAGGTCCGGACCTACTCGCCGGGACCGGTCTTTCATCCTGAGCTGTTTTTCGACGGTCCCGAGGGCCGGCGAGGGCGCCCCCGAGGCGGAAGATACAGGAACACCTCCCGCCGTGGTCTTTGTTCACGACTCGAGGGGCTCTGGGTGGAGAGCCCCCGTCCGCCGGGCTGCGCAGCCTGCCCGGGAGCCGGCGTGGCGGCGCGTGTACAGGGCTTCGGCACGCGGCGCGGCGGCGGGCGTCCGCCGGCGGGAGCCCGGCCAGAGCAGTCTGCTGTGGCCGCTGCGCCCCGTGCTCCCCGGGCCGGGCCCCGTGTGACCTCTGGCACGGCTCGGGACGTGCGGCGGAGTCCCGCAGCAGGGCGCGCCTGGCTCGCTTCCGCACAGGGCACTCATTAATTACTGCTTCCGGTCCTGTCCGATTCCGGCCAGGAGTCAGCAACGAGAGGTGCCGACTGGATGGGGTCGGCAGCGTTGTGCCCGCGAATTAGAAATGAGCGCTCGATCGTGGCCGGTCCTGGGGCACGGCGTGGCCCCCGGAGAGGCCGAAGAGGGCAACCGAACCCTGTCGCTGCACGATTTGTCTCTCAGGATGCGAACTGGCGAAGACGCCCGAAAGCCTCGAACATCGAACCACGAACCTTGGCACCTCGAACCTCGAACTTCGGTACCCAGTCCCTCTTCTATCTCCAGAGAGGGTGCCTCGCACAGGCAGGCCGGGACGACCTGCTCGCCGCTGCGCAGCCGGTAGACCCGCCGCCACTCCGCCGCGGCCTGGCCGGACCCGTCCTCCGGGCGAGGCGGTGTGGCCGCGCGCGGGCAGGGGCAGTACAGTCGGGGCCTTGTCCTAAGGAACCCAAAATAAGGAACGACGCCCCTTTTTCCATAAGTTAACCTTCGATTTCCGATCGAAAACAGAAGGAACACCGGAGGCAAGCTGCGAAACACCTAAGGAACGCGGAGCCCCTCCCCACCGAAAAGGGTTCCTTCCTCAGCGCCCCGACTGTACCTGTCAGCACCGCATCGGGAAAATCGGATCGCATCGCCTTGCGCGTCGCATTGGGCTGCCTCGGGCACGAGACCGGAGAACCGAACCAGGCTTTGCCGCGCCAAGCTTCAGAAACACCATGCACAAGCACCTGGCGCCGCCTCGGATCGTCGGAGCATCCGCATCGAAGCGGCTCGGGCCAGCCGAGATCGACACCTGCCACCGCTCGGACGTTCATTCTCTGTGTTTTTTGTCGGTTTCGTGCGTGGCTTTTTCGCCAAATGATCAAGGCTGCTCCTCGATGGTCCTCGCCGAAGGAAAAAAAATGCACACATCCGAGCGATGTCAAGGGGCCCGCCGAGATCGACATGGAATCGGAACGATCGGATCGACACGGACCCCTGCAGGCGTGCGGACGGGGGGAGGAGGCCAGGCAAGGCACCGTGGCAGCCTCCTCCGAGTGGCCCCGCAGCCCCACCGCCTTCCGTCCCCCTCATTCCTACTACCCTCGTCAAAATTCACCTCAACAGTTGCTGGCACGTCATTTCGGTTTCGGCGCGCCCATCAATGCCGACACGCCGCCCCTTCAATGTCGGGGCGAGGGCAAAGATAACCTCATGCCCGTGAGAATAAACACTAGGGGATAATAAAGTTCGGGGTTCAGGGAGAGATAATAAAAGTAGCCCAGCAGACCTCAGCATAATCTCGAAGTAAGAGATGATCAAGAGGAGACCAAGCCGAGCACGTTTTGAGACATCCTTGGCGTTTAGTTTTCATAGAAATATCCTCAACAATGGCTTATCTCTCATGAAAATTGTTTTTTGTAAGTGCTCGTGTAGGGTAGCTCATGTGCCTCAATTTCCATGGATAATCAACCCCAGAGATAAAAAAGTTCAGGCGAGCGTGGGGACAGAGAGAAATATAAAAGAAGAAGAATACAGTAGAAGAATAATAAGAAAGAAGAAGAAGAGGAGAATAAGAAGAGGACGAAGAAAGGAAAAATCCAAAGTTCCAAATCTATCAATTTTAATTTACAAACGCTTTATGAAAATTGATGTTTTAAGTGCTCGTGTAGGGTAGCTCATGTGCTTCATTTTCCATGGATAATCAACCCCAGGGATAAAAAAGTTCAGGCGAGCGTGAGGACAGATAGAAATATAAAAGAAGAAGAGGAAAGTAGAAGAATAATAAGAACATTGCTCGTTTCGTTTGAGTCTGCCTCCCAAAATTATTGGTTTCTCTTGACACATCCTGAAAAGTGTGATCGCTTCGCTTGATGTTGCTATATCAACATCGCTTGATGTTGCTATCTCAACATAGCGTTTCGAGGTGATAATGAAGTTCGGCCTCAGCGCTCGCCGCCAAATTTGAATTTTGTATAGGGCGACGATAATCAACTCTAAACACTGAAGGGGGGGGGTCCCTTTATTATCATCGGCATGCGGTTAGTCTGACCGAAATTGACTCGAAACTTTGACGTCAACCACTTGGACTGCCGTTCGATGTCTGGGCAGATAGGACGCTGTAGGACCGGCTTGCAGCCGAAGACTTCATGCATGCGCACGCCCTCTGAGGATCCACAGCTTTTCACTGGTTGCATGCGGCCATCAAGCAAACCAATCGAACTACAAACGAAGAATTGAAATTGAAACGGATACGCCGGGAATGGCTGGTGCTGACGCGGATGCGCCGGGATGCACAGGTCAAGGGGCTCAGGACGAGGACGGGGTCGTGAAAAAATCACGAATGACTGTTGTTCAATACGTTGGGCCTCCGATGGGGCCTTGCAGGACCTCGGGGCCGTCAACAAACGACTCACGATGACAAGCTACTGCCCAGGAAGGGTCCAAACCTCTGGGGGTGCACGCCATGAAAAAATCATGACGTTCCGAGGGAGGTAGCGCGGAGGTTGACGAGGACGAGGAGGACGAGGAGGACAAGGCGGAGGAGGAGGAGGAGGAGGAGGAGGAGGAGGAGGAGGAGGGGAGGCAGAGGAGGATGGCGAACGAGGACGACGTCCTCCCCCTACTCCTCCTGTGGCGAAACCGAGGTCGCGCACCACACCGCCACAAACTGCCCCGTCGAGCGGTATAGAAGAACCATGTCAACACGCAAAAAACTCCGGAGCTCCGCGCGGGTGTCAGGGCCCAACACCGATCCAAGACATCTGCGCGGAGGTCTGGATGCGCTCTCCATGTTGTGTGTTTGCGTTTGTGTGGGGCTTTGTTTTTGCGCGTGTGTGTGTGTGTGTGTGTGCGTGCGTGCGTGCGAGTGTGTGTGAATGTGCGTGTGGGTGCGTGTGTTTGTGTGCTTGTGTGTTTGTGTGTTTATGTGTTTGTGTGTGTGCGTTTGTGTGCGTGTGTGTGCGTGTGTGTGTGCGTGTGTGTGTGCGTGTGTGTGTGTGCGTGTGTGTGTGTGTGCGTGTGTGTGTGTGTGTGTGCGTGCGTGCGTGCGTGCGTGCGTGCGTGCGTGAGTGCGCGTGTGTGTGTGTGTGTTTGTGTGTGGTGTGTGTGTGTGCGTGTGCGTGTGCGTGTGGTGTGCGTGTGCGTGTGCGTGTGCGTGTTGTGTGTGTGCGTGTGTGTGTGTGCGTGTGCGAGTGCGTGTGTGTGCGTGTGTGTGTGTGTGTGTGCGTGTGCGTGTGCGTGTGCGTGTTGTGTGTGCTTGTGTGTTTGTGTGTCTGTGTGTGTTTGTGCGTTTGTGTGCGTGTGTGTGTGTGCGTGTGCGTGTGAGTGTGCGTGTTGTGTGTGTGTGTGCGTGTGTGCGTGGGTGCGTGTGTGCGTGTGTGTGTGTGTGTGTGTGTATGTGGGGAGGGCGTGTGTGTGTGTGCGTGTGTGTGCGTGTGTGTCTGTGCGTGTGTGTGTGTATGTGTGTGTGTGTGTTTGTGTGTTTGTGTGCGTTTGTGTGCGTGTGTGTGTGTGTGTGTGTGTGCGTGTGTGCGGGGGGGGGGGGCGTGTGTGTGTATGTGTGTGTTTGTGTGTGTGTGTTTGGGTGTGTGTGTGTGTGTGCGTGTGTGTGTGTGTGAATGTGTGTGTGTGTGTGTCTTTGACCTGGGGCGGACCGTCCCGGCATTCCCATGGGCCTACCACCACAACAGGAGGAGGAGAAGGAGGTGGAGGGGGAGAGGAGGAGGAGGAGGAGGTGGAGGGGGGAGGAGGGGGAGGAGGGGCAGGAGGAGGAGGAGGACGAGGGCTGGTTACCAAAGATTAGACAGTGCTACGGCAGGGACTGCAGAATCTACCACCTCGCTGCATCCACCACAGCAACCGCCGATACTTCAATTACCGCAGCACGAAGATTTCTACTGGCTCCCCCTGCCCACCTCTTCTATCCCCCTAGTATTATGGTACCAAGGCTTTTCCTGATATCGTCCCGTCGCTCGTCCTTCCTAATCAATCAGGCGTTGTGGGCTACTCCTCCCCCCCCAGGAGCAGTGCCTTCCTGATTGTTGGTGAAGGCCGAGGCCCTGTACGTCCGCGTGCGGAGGCATAGGACTTCGACACGTGCCTCCTTCGTTGTGTCACCCCCCTGCTCTCCCCCTCTTCTTCCCCGTCGCTGCTGCCTGCTATAGAGCCGCGACAGGTACACTTTTATCTCCAGTTGCGTTTGCGCTTGACACCTACATCTTTCAGACCCTCACCTCTCACGTTCCCTCGATCAGCGCTCCTCATCTGCTCTTATCGACGTGCCTGCCACATATTTGGCCTGTCAGCAAAATTGAAACACCAGCTCTAGACATACCGACTAGGCAGCCATCGCTATCACCGGCCGTACAGGGGGGGCGTTTGGTACTTTTGGGGACGGGGTGGGGGGATTTGGGGGCCCGACTTCTGGCCATTTTGGCCTTCTGCGGATGGGCTCTGCCCCACTGATGGCCGTGCTTCAACACCTCCACCTCACACCTCAACGGCTCTAGCACAGCCTACTCACAGCCGCCAGCGCTCTGCTTACATTCGCGCTACTTTTTGCCGCCACAGGCCAGCTAGCACAGCCTGAGCCAGCCTACACACAGCTACCGCGCCTGTCTATGGAACGCAGACCATAGCACGCACAGTCTCTTCCCTCAGCTTAGTTACATATTTCTGGGTAGTCGAAGCCAATCTGGCGCCAATCAGGCGGGCCCAATCTGGCAAACGGTGGCAATCTGGCAAGGGAGCCAACGCGAATCCAGCCTGGCGAACAGCAAAACCCCCCAAACCTGGTCAAGCCAGATTGGCCCCAGGAGCCCAATCCAATCTGCCAGTCTGGCCTTCGACTACCCAGCCTCAGCTTGGTTACAGATTTCAAGATCTGACTCTGCTCATTTTACCTCTCCTACGTTCCAGGGCCAGGCAGCGCCGGCCCGACAGTCTGTGCTTGATGGGGATGGATTGGGACTTGGTTGGGGGGTAGGTAGAATGAAGTCGGGTGTGTCCCTCTACAGGGGGATTGTCGACGAAAAATTTACCCCAACAATGCCCCAAAATGGTCAACGACAACTAAAAAAACAGTCCCCATACTATTTTTTGACTATTTTCGAATATTCCCCCTGTAGAGGGACAGGCCCGACTTGAAGGTAGAAGGAGGTGCGAAGGACATCCGAAGCTCACTCCTCATTTCGGGGGCCCCTGGCTTACAGACTCGCCATCGTTCGGACGTCCATTCCTCGTGTATTTTTCGATTTCGTGCGTGCTTTTTTCGCTAAGTCATCACGGATGCTCCTCCATGCTCCTCGCCGAGAAAAAATGCACACGTCCGAGCGATGCCAAGGGGATTGGCCCCGCTGTTATACACTCACAGGCGTGACCCCAGCAGAGGGCACAATCACCTCGCCAAGAGCGCAGGCCGGCCTTTTACAGCGCCAGCCTTTCTTACGCTGACCTCGGTAGTGCTTCTTCACTCGTCCCTTCTCCACCGATCTTTCGATGCCTCCCCTTCCCGCCCGTCCTTCTCCACAGCAGCCCAGTTGCAAGTCTCCACCTTTCAGGGGGGGACAGGTGCCACCGTGGAGCCTGCTGTTCTATTTTCTGAGATAGCGGCCATCGCTGGCCCCGCCGCCCCCCCCCACCCCCCAGATGACGTCACGTTCCGCGCCGGCGGCGTCCACGAATGCCCAGGGATGGCCGAATGCAACTCGAAGCAGCATGTAGGTGTCGATCTGCACCATCGCGCCTGTGTGCACCACAAGGCTCGCGTGCACCACAGCGCGCGTGTGCACCACAGCGCCTGTGCACACCGCAACAGCCGTGTGCAACGCAGCGCCTGTGTACACCAGTGCTTGCGTGCATAACAATGCCTGTGTACACCACAGCGAATGTGTACACCGCAACAATCATGTGCAACATAGCGCCTGTGTACACCACACTGTTTACGTGCACCGCAGCTCCTGTGCACACTACAGCGCCTGTGTATACCACGGCATCGCGTTCAACGCAGCGGTGGTGTACACCACAGCGCCTGCGTGCACAGGACAGATAGAAGGAGCATGCAGGTTAGGATTGCTGCGGACCGCTAAACACCACGCGTGGGAAGTGCTGAATATAGAATGCGATGTTCATTCTTCCTCCCTCCTCCTCCTCCTCCTCTTCCTCCCCCTCTTCCTCCTCCCCCTCCTCCCTCACCCTTCCCCCCGTCGTGCAGGCCGGCGCTACATCGCACGTGCGCATCTCAGCGTGCACCGCAGACTGGTCTATTGAATCAGTCCACATGGTTTTCGAACGGCCGATCTACAGAGAGGGCCGGCGCCTTCTGAGAAGCAGGGGTGCTTCTAAGAAGCCTCCCCCCCTCTGCCTCCCCCCCCTCCGCGCGTGGCCGAGCTTGGGGGCGGGGGGGGCGGGCGAGGACCTCGACAGAGTTCTCTGCCGTGCCCCGACGAGGGCTCATCAGGCCTTTGGGCGCAGCGTGGTATGACCCCGAGGCCTCAGTGGCGCCGACCGCGAACCATTCGGCGTGACCCCATCGAGGGTGCAGCCGCCGAGCGGCAGTGCAAGCTCAGCTTCGAGCCCAGGCGCACCGATTTGCCGAGCTGCGCCCCGCCGCGGCAGCGAGGGGGCCCCCGAGGCCCACCGGCCGGTGTCTCGACTGGCCCTCCCCTGACCATTCCCCAGCCTCGCTATCGCTGTCGCCATCTGCAGGAGGGGCTCCCTCGCCCTGTTTTTTCGGGTCAAGACTCGGGTGTTCGGCCCTCCCCTGACCATTCCCCAGCCTCGCTATCGCTATCGCTATCTGAAGGAGGGGCTCCCTCCCCAGCTTCTTCGGGTCAAGACTCGGGTCCCCGGCGGCCGTTCGGGACGATCCGGGCGCCCCCGGCAAGCTCCCGGCGAGGCGCGGCCGCTGGGAGGCACTCCGAGGCTGGCAAACCGCGGACGCCCGACGAACACGCCCGAACACCTTGAATTAAGTCGGGCGTGCCCCCCTACAGGGGGATTTGGGGCAACAAACTATTGTCCCTGGACAATTTTTACAATTTTTGAATATTCTCCCTGTAGAGGGACAGGCCCGACTTAAACCTTGAACCCGCCACCTCGGGACTTCGTCTGGGGAGGCCAAGCGGTACCGATACCGCTACCCCCTGGACCTCTCCCAGGGTGCGTTCTGACCAAGATTTCGAGGCGAGTCCAGCGGTGGCAACGAGGGCCGCCCAAGAAGCCCGAAAACGGGAAACTGGGCGAAGGGTAGAGGCATGGGTGCCTTCTCCTCCTCGGAGAACCCCCACCTTCGGGACTTCGTCGAGACTCGAACCTCGAAGCCCGAACGCTCCCCAAGCGCTTCCTCCTCCGATCTGCAGCCTCCGCGGTCCTCGCTCAGCACCACGGGCGGCGACCCCGACTCCATCAGGCAGGAGGAGAAGAAGTCGGGGAACCTGGCCGCAGAGGCATCCTAGATGGGGTCCGAGTATATCGGAGAAAGAACAGGTACCCATACTGCTACCCTTCCCTCGCTTTCCCCTTGTTTGGCCGCATGGGAGGCCCTCGTCGCTACCGCTGGATTCGCCTCGGAATTCTGGTCAGAACGCACCCCGTGAGAGGTCTGGGGAGTAGCGGCATCAGTACCTTTTGGCTCCCCCAGTATAATGCGAAGACAGGACGAGGGTAAATTCGGGTGGGGGTAAATCGAAAATCTCTGAGATCCCGTGGCTCTGGAAAATGTCATGGGCGCCGCGGCTTTTTCAATTGCGTTCCGGAACGGTCTGAGAGCGTGCCAGAACGCTTTGGAAAACGGACTCATCCTCGTCCAAGTCCCGTCCGAGAATACTTTACATCCTTTATTAAGCGGCCCCCGGGGCCCGTATATTGAGGCACCTTTTTCCAAAAGGGGGGAAGCCGGAATATCAAGGCGGTTTCGCGTGACCGAAGCAAAGGGCCGGAGAATTATGGCGTTTTTTGAATGGCCATTTTGGGCAAGAGGTTTGAAACTGACCACAATCACAGCCATAACACATCTATATATATATATATATATATACACGGACTAGAACCATCGCGCGCGCTTCGCGCGCGCTCAGGTTCTAGCCCAGGCTGGGGGCGCGCTAGAAGCTCTTGGACAGCGCTATCAAGCACAGGCGAGTGACATAGTCGTGCCTCCTGAGGACCTCGTGGGAACCTCTTGGGTCTTCGTGGGGGCGTCTGAATGGCTTCTGGGGGGGTTCTCCGTGCTTCCTCAATTGGCTGTTGGAGGCACCTCTTGGGTGCTTCTCGGGGGGGCATCTTGGGGCTTCTTGGGGTCCCTTGGGGGCATCGTCAGCGTTCTCCGGGCAGTCGGAAAGTGATGTTCTGCAGTCTGAAGCAATCAATTGGCTGTCTTGGCTGCGTGGAGGCCCAGCTTGAGGCCACATTGGGGCAATCCCGAAGCCTCCCGGGGCCTCCCTGAAACAATTTTGATGCATCGAGAGCACTGTTCGGCTATCTTGGGGCCCCGTGTACGTCTCCTGTGAGCCTTTTGGGGCCTGGTGGGGGGCTTTGGGGGGCCTCGTCGGACCAGTTGGGGACTCTTGGGGCCTCCTGTGGGCCTCTTAGGGCGGAACGCTCTGCTGTTGGTTCGCGTTCCCCTTCTTGGGGCTCTCTTAGGGCCCTCTTGGGGCCCTCTCGGGCCGTCTTGGGCGCCTCGGGCACCGTCTTGGGGCCCTCGTGGGCCGTCTTGGGGCCCTCGTGGAGGCCTCTTCGGCTATCTTGGAGCGGCCGTGGGGGCCACTTGGGCCGTCTTGGAGCGTCGGGATGCCAAAAAGCTGGGAACTCTAAAATCCATCAAAAGCCGATGGGAAAACAATGCTTCTTGGAACCTCTTCGGCCTTCTGAGGAGCTTCTTGAAGGCCTCTTGGGTCCCATTTGGGGGCCTCTGGGGCTTCCTGAGAGCCTCTCGGGGTGGAAGGCTCGGATTCCCCCTTGGGGCCGTATTGGTGCCCTCTCGGGCTGTCTTCGGCCCTGTTGGAGGCCTCTTGGGCTATCTTGGATTGGTCTTGGAGGCCTTTTGGGCCGTCTTGGAGCGTCAGGACGCCAAAGGCTGAAAACTCGAACATCAATCAAAAACCTATGGCAAGACATGGATTCTTGCCTCTTGGGGCCTTCGTGGGAGGCCTCTTGGATACTCTTCGGCCCCCTGGGGGGCTTCTTGGGGCCTCTTGGAGCCTGTTAGGGGCTTCTGGGGGCCTCCTGAGAGCCTCTCGGGGTGGAAGACTCGGATTTTCGGTTCGTGTCAACCCTCTTGGCTCCATCTTGGGGCCGTCCTGGGGCCCTCTCGGGCCGCCTTGAGAGCCTCTGGCGCCGTCTTGGGACGCCCGTAAGCTGTCTTGTGACCGTCTTCGAGGCCTCTGGGGATGCCTTGGAGCGGAAACTAAAGCCTCTTGGGCCGTCGTGGAGCGTCAGGAAACTCGAAAGGCGAGAATATCGATCAACAACCAAAGCAAAACAAATTAGTTGTGCCTCCTGGGGCTCCTTGGGAGCCATCTTGGAGACCTCTTGGGGCGTCTTGGAGGCCTCTCGGACAGTCAAGGACCAATTCTGGGGTGATCTCGGGCGGACATTGGTCGTTTTCGTTGTCTGGAAACGCCAGGGCCGTCTTCAGGCGACTTTACAGAGGCCCCCAGCGCCACGGCAAGGCCCCCGGGCCCCCCAGTGCGAGAGCCCCGTCCCGGGCCCCGCCTCGTGCCCGCGGCAGGGCGTCCCTGGGCCGTCTCGGCGCCCTCGTGGGGGCCTGGTGGGGCGACATTGGGTGTCTGAAATCCATCAAAAACCTAAGGACAATCAATGATTTTGGTGTCCCTTTGGTCCGTGTTGGAAGCCTTGTGGGCCGTCCAGAGGCCATCTTGGGCGTGTTCGAACGATATGTCATCATTTCGGGGCCTCTTGGGGGCCTCTCGCGGCCCCCTTCGTCTGTGTTGGGGCTTTCTTGGGCCGTCTGGGGGCGGCCCTGGGCTGTCTCGGCACCCACTTGGAAGCCTGTTTGGAAGATTTCTGGGTGTCCTGGACCGTCCTCCTTCAACGTCGGCGGTACTGGCCGTAAGACTTCCTGGGAACATGATTTGTTGGGGTGTCGTTGGGCGCCTCCGGAGGCTTCGGGGCCTGACGCGTTTCCGAGCGTGGCGACAGGTAGCGCTGCTTGGGACTCTGTTTTTTTTTATCCTGGCAAGCGTTTATAATCATGGTTTGGGGAGAGGGCGGCAACCCGATAATCATGTTCCCGGGAAGCTTTCCGGGAGCATGATTTGTTCAGCTCTCTTAAGAGGGGGGGCTCTGGGGGCTTACCGAGGGGCCCTTTTTGGCCTTGTCGGCAAGCCTATTGGAAACATGATTGGGGCGGTGGGCGGAAGCCCAAGAAATCATGTTCCCGGAAAGCTGTGGGAAATACGATTTACCGAGGTCTCTTGGGGGCCCGCAGGGGGCTTCCCTGGGGGGCCCTTGGGGGCTTATTCGGGCTTCTGGGGGGCCTCTTGGGAGCCTCACGGGGCTTCTTGGGAGCCTCCTGATGGCCTCCGGGGGCGTCCTAGGAGCCTCTAAGGCCGGAGACCTTGAAATGTCGCGCTCTTCGGGCCCTCTTGGGTCGCTCTTGGGGCTCTCTTGGGGCGCTCTTGAGGCCCTCTTGAATTATCTGGGGAGCCTCCTGGGCCGTCTCTGGTCTTTCCTTGGGAGCCTCTTCGGCCGTCTGGGAGCGATCTGCAGGGCCTCTGACGCCATCCGGGACCGTGGGTAGGCGGAACATGCGAGAGCGCACAAATGCGGGGCCCTTTGGAGGGGCCTCTGGAGGCGCTCTTGGGGCGTTTTAACGGCGTCGTCGGCCGTCCTGAGGCCGTCTTCGGCGTGTCCAGGGCCTCTTGGGGCTGTCTTGGTAACCTTTAGGGCCCTCTTGGCGTGTCGTGGCCAGTTTGGGAGCGGGCCCGGGCAGTCCCAGGAGCCCTGGGGGCTGTTGAATGCTAGGTGTTGTCTTGGAGGCGGAGGCTGTTGAGTGCAAGGTGGCGCGTGCTACGCGGAAGGCGGGCGAGCGGCCCGGCGGGCGGCGGGCGGGCGGGTGGCGGGCGGGCGGGCGGGCGGGTCGGGATTTGAATGAATTCTTTAAGGGTGCTCTCTTGCAGCGGGAGCATGTTGAGTACAGGGTGTTGCCTTGAAGACGGGGGCTGTTGACTACAGGGTGTTGTCTTGGAGACTGAAGCTGTTGAGTACAGAGTGGTGCGTGCTACGCGGACGGCGGACGGGCGGCAGGTGCCCTAGGTGGTGGGTCAGATGCCTCATGGGTGTTGGCTCGGATCTCGTGGTTGGCCTGTCGGGGACGTCGTGAAGGCAGTTTCGCAGCTTCTCGGTAGCCATTTTGAGACCGTTGTGGGACCTCCTCGGGGCTGTTTTGTGGCCTCTTGAGGCCTTGTTTGGGTATCCTGGGGGCCTCTCGTGGGCCTCCTGGGGCCTCTGGGGGGCTCCTTGGGGCCTCCTGGGGCACTCTTCAAGCGGGAGGGTCGAATTTTGGAGTCGTGGTCCCCCTCTTGGGCGCATCTTGGGGCCGCATTGGGGCTCTCTGGGGCGCCTCTGGGGCCGTCTGGGGGCCCTCTTCCGCCGTCTTGGGGCGCTCTTGGTGGCCTATGGAGCCGGCCTAGAACGTCGGACAGCCGAAAAGGCTGGAAGGCCAAATTTTTCCCAAAACCTGCATACAATTGACGATGCTGGTCTCTTGAAGCGCTCGGGAGAAGCGTCTTGAAGCGTCGTGGAGTGCCTTGGGGGGGGGGGTCGGGCCGTTTTGGGCCTATCTTGGGCGTCCGGGAGCGCTCTTTCGGCGACTCGGGGCCCGCTTGGGCCGTCTGGGGAGCCTCTGGAGGCCCTCCTGGACTATTTTGGACCTCCCTGGCCGCCCAGGGGTCGGGGCAGCTGTTTGTGGGCCCTGGGCATGAGACCCCAGGGATCTATATATATATATATATATATATATATATATATATAACTATATGTGCGTGTGTGTGGCGTATATATGAATAGATATGGCGCCTGCACCACAGCATCACATGCACGATCATGGTGTTCATCGTATTGATCATAATCGTTGTCGACGTCGCAAACCACTGTGTAACTACAGCCTCATCAGGTCCACCAGCTTAACTAAAATGCTCAACTTTCCCAGAGAGGGGGTCTGGAAAATCAAGGCGCCTCCCGTGGAGGGGGGGTCAGAGTATTAGCGTGCCGAAGAAGGGGGGGGCCGGTATTTTAGGGTGGGCCGTTTAACAAGGGATGTGGAATAGATGTGGTCGGAGGATCCCGCCGCATTGGCGATGCCTCGGAGCCATCGGCGCGGAGAAATTCCCCAGACATGCGACGTCCTGATTTTCTGCAGGACGGCAGGAGAGCCCAGAATCGAATCGACAAGTCGGATCGGCGGTCGAAATGAATCGG